TTATTATGATAATAAATATTATTACAATAATAAATATTATTATGATAATAAATATTTTTATGATAATAAGTATTTTTATGATAATAAAAATTATTATAATATTATTATAATAGTCAAACTTTATAGAAATGTGTCTAAAAATTCATTAATTATTTTTATTTTCCATGACGAGAAATCCATTTTGAATAGAAAAAGTACAATAGTTTACTTTATTTTAAAATAAAATGATTTGTTGGATTTAAATCAAATCTGACAAAAGAAGATATAACCTCTCTATAAAATATTTTGATTTATATATATTTATATATATTTTTTTTGTATATATTTTTTTATATATATTTTTTTATCCCTTTTAAAATGATTGCTATTCTCATGAAAATGAAATTTTTAAATTACGGCATTTTGTTAATTTTTGGAAATTATTTGGAAATTAAGTAACTTGAATTGAAAACTGCTGATTGCTATTTACAATACTTAAACAATTCTGTGTATTGGAGTATGAAAATAGATTTTAGTTGTTTAATTTTATATTTATTTGTATGAAATATCTTACGATGTCGGCGCATTCATGCACGAAATTAGATATGCGTCAATTGGGTTGACTTCTCACAAAATGTGTACTTCTCTGTGTGTGCCTGTGTGTGTGTTGATAGTAAAACACGCACACATCAACATATACAGACACACATACGCACACATAAATACCGCATATACCGCTTTTGATGTGCTGGCCAACATAAATTTTATTTCCGCTCAACATTTTTGTATGAAATAACAAAATTTATAGCGGATTCAGTTGATTGGTTAAGTCAAAGGAGCTATTGTATGCGGTTGGATTCGGTGGTTGGCTTATGGAAGCTGCATATGCACCATAAGTGATTTATGTTACACTCTGGTGGCAAAAGGGATTTTAAGTGCTCAAATGACACTTTAAAAATTTTGCACTAAACGCAATTATGTGCTTTAATATTGAAATTCGTTTCGTTTAGTGTCGTTCAACGTGGCGTATGAGTAACAAATTTTTTTTGTGTTTCTCATTGCAAATGCCTTTCTTTGGCACAATAAAATATTTACAAATTGTGTGTGTTTCGCTTAATCCTGCTTAATGGCTTTAATGACAATAAAAAATAAAAAGGATGGTGTGCAAGTGTTGCGAGTTGGTGTGCCATATTTGCACCATGCGAAATGTGCACGGATGCTGCACGCATTCCGCCTATGCGCTTTTAATCGCTGCGCTAATGTATTTCTGCATAAATCATTCATGATAAGCGCAGCAGCTTAACAAATTATACCGAAGGACATTTTTTTAATCTCATCAATATGTATTATTTTTTAATGATTTTGTTAATTTCGCATTTGTTTGCCCTGCCTTATTCAATGCACTTTTTATTCCCATTCCCGTTTTCATGTTCACTTTTGTTTGAGTTTGTGTTATTCTTTTTATTTTCGTTGCACTTGCTCAACAGGCAATGTGCGTTGTGCGTTTGCTGTTTAACTGCAGCTCATGTCCTGATCCTGACACAATGATAAAATAATGAAATAAACGTGCAAACAATGATTTTATCAATACACATAATTATTTTTGTAATTATAGTCATACTTTGCATTAAGCAAAATGTTATGAGCGCATAAACAATGCAAATTTTAAAAAGTGCATGTTTCAAATTTAGTGAATGCAGTGAAAAAAATCCTCAGAAACATTTCGAAAATTTCATCATATTTAAAAATTAAGTATGCGAGTATTGTAACTATAGAAAAATAATTTATTATTAAAAGTAAAAGTTCAAAAAATAAAAAATAAATTAATAAGAGAGGTGAGAAGGAAGAGATTTTAAATAAGTCTACCATCCAGTATCATCAAAAGATTGAATGTTTCAAGTCAAATTTCTTGATTTGTTCCATTAGAGTGTTATCATATGGAACATTAGCATATGAGTTAAATATATCTCAACAATCAGTTAAGTAATTTGCAATTAAATGATGTATTTGCATTTATAGTATTGAAAAAAACATGCCTTCTCTAATGACCCCATATTTACGAAATACACTACAACTGGTACTGATGCAAGGGTGTACGCATATGACACGAAAATCACAATGTAGAAATCTAAAACCAAAATTATATTCACTATCTTCTTTGACATTCCCACTGGGAGCTGTGACCGAAAGACCAACAGAGGTGTTAAATAGGTCCACTTCGCATAAAGACAGACTCTATTTCCAAACATATAGCTTTAATTGTTAGCGGCAGAGTTCCTTGAAGTCTCCATATGATGGTTATCGGCACATTATGATAATACATGTAGTAAAAGCACTGCGGTGTTAAGCCCTCACGGCAGGTAATTGCGTTAAATAACTCTGGAATTTTGTGTTCTTCAGCACACACACATAGAAGAAATTAGAATATTTCCTAAGTAAGGCATGCTTTCCGTAAGAGGTGACAATATTTCAATACCAGATACTATTTGAAGTATAAATGGTAATGAGTGACTTTCAGTTACGGCACCCATCCAAAGGTGTAAATCTGTTACCACAGGGTCAGGGTCTACAGCTTCGGCTATCGTAACGACTGTGTTTAATGCCAAAAATTCTTCGAGTGAACTGACTGTATTTATTTACTTTCATACGATGTGGAACCGGGTACTTTTTAACCGGGTGCTGTGACTTTATTCCAATGAGGAAAATATATTCAAACATATAGGGTATTGGTGCACTAAACTGATACACGTGATAAGAACACAGTGATGCTTTTGCTTTTATGACAAGTAATCATGTTATAAAGCTTTGCTTTCTGGATTTAACACTAGTGGTTAGGTTTGTTATATTTGTTTTTACCGGAAAATTAAATAGTTACTTAAAAATATTATCTGGGCATTATCAAGTGTTAAGGATAGAATACTTAATTGCACATAAAACAACTCATAACAACTCGTTACCAAGTTTTGGCTTGGAATGTTAGGTATAGAATATCCTTTATGAATATCGAATTTGTGAAGACACAAATGTTAAATTTTGCTTCAAAGTAATATTTATATATATTATAGTCAACAAATTCGTAACTAAATTACTAAATATAGCTCCATGTGACTTTTCTGTCTCTCTTAAGGTGAATTTAACACTACCAGGAACTCGTTTTGGGGTCTTTAAGGTCATGAAAGTAAGTCTGCAATTAGAACTAAAGGTTATTTCTAAATCTTTGTATAGCATATGGATAAGTCGGGTTGGGTTTATCGTTGGTGTGTGTATATAGATTCAGAAGGTAACTACTTTCAAGGCCATGAAATAACTTTGCTGTTTATTTATTATATTTTGTATTTGTTATTGGAAAGTTTTAAGTAAATATTTCATAAAAAATATTTTTTTCTTATTTTTTTAAAATACATTTTTATGTATTTAAAAATCCACTAAAATTTTTTATGACAAAAAACATTTTCTGAGTGTATGCAAGACCCGAAGAGTTAAAATTTTATTTGCGAATGTAAAATTAAATTTAAAAGTAACCATAACCGTATTTGCAGCCATGAAGCATAATAATTCGCACTTTATAATTATTTAATAAAAAAAAAAACAAAAAAAAGAAAGAATATGATGAAAAATTTGCAGTATGTCATTGTCATGGATGACAATCAGTTCAAAATTAATTTAATAAAATGTCAAAATATAATTAAATTTGAATTGATGCTCTATAATTCGAGTACACATGTTATTAAATTGCAGCTGAGCTAATTAAGCAAAACATTTGAGCTGGGGGTGGTATAGTTCTGAGACCACAACTCGTCATTTATGGAAATGAGTAAGTTTCCTTCATTTTAGAATGGAGACAATGCCATGTTAATTATTTTACAAGCGTAGAGAAGGCTATAATTTAACATGATTATACTGACTTATGCTAGAATAAATGCAGAGCTATAATTTCAAGACAAATCATTCAAAGATACCTCACAGGAATCGGTATATTATGCAGTTAAATTTGGTCACATAAGTTTGTCCGTCGGTTATCAGAATGTAAATGCAAACTTATATTTAAAATTAATTATTCTGAACAATTAAAGATGATAAAGACTTCTCTCTGTTATTTAATTATTGCTTAGTATTCATTTGATATAAGCTAATTTTAAGCCTTTAATTAAATAATACCGCGTATTCATATTAATCTATATAAACACATATGCGCCGATCAGCGTAAATACGCACGTCCCGCTCTAATTATATATACAATATACAGTTGCGAACGTTGATAATTAATTTCAATTATTTAGATTATCGGAGTTTTGCATAAATTTTACACAAAATGCAAATTTTTCATATAATTCGTTGCGCCCAAATGCATGCATTGTTTTCATAATTATTGCAATAATTATGTCGTCCTGCCTGCCTGCCTGCCTGACTGACTGACAATTCTGCGTTTGCGTTCTCCATTGTGGCGTAAGCAAATGTAGTTGCCCAAATTTTACAAATTGGCAGGATATGTTGAATTATTTTGTTAAAAATGGCCACATACATTTTTGCAAAATGGCCGCATTTGTTGCACTCGGCAGAAGTTTTTCGATAAAAAACAACAACAAAAATAAAATCAGCAATGAGCGACAATTGCGCTTTTGTGTATGGGCGAGTATGCGTTTATTTGCAATGAATTACAATAATTATTTGTAGTAAAAACAATAATTTGGATATGTAAACATGCAAAAAATATGAAATAATTTTCTGTTTTGCCAAAAATATCTTATAAAAGCTTTTCTGGTCAATTAAAATGACAAAGCCATGTTAATTTCCTATTCCTACAATGGCATCGGCACCGGCACTGGCATTGGCATTAACTTTAATTGGTTCAAAAAGCAGCCTTAATTATGCATAATTCAAAATATCATAAAATATTCTGTTGAATAATTAAATTGAAATAAATTTAGCGTTTATAGTAAATAACAAAAATTAGAAAATATTGTTTATTTTATTAATTGTTTAAATTATAATTTACTGAATAATTAAGTTTTGTTACTGACCTTAGGTGAAGGAACTACGGAAAATGTGTTCATTATTCTATCGGGATACTCTTCACGTATCTTCGAAATCAATAAGGTTCCAAGACCCGAACCGGTACCACCACCAAGGGAGTGAGCAAGTTGGAAACCCTGCAGACAGTCGCAACCTTCTGACTCTTTGCGTAAAACATCCAATACTGAATCAATTAATTCAGCGCCTTCTGTGTAGTGACCCTTGGCCCAGTTATTACCTAAAAATTAATTGAAATTATAATTTCATAATAACTTTTATTAAATAATAATGCTTAATTTATTATAAAATTTGAATCAAATATAAATAATATTATAGGTATTATAGCACTCAAAATTTAGAAAATATTTGCTTTAATTTGAAAAATTATTGTAGCCGACGTAAAAGTAATAAAAACAAAGATTTATTATTATTTTATTTTCATTTTCCGTATAAAATAGGAAGATATGCTGACCTACGGTCCGTCATCAGTGAAAAGATAAATAAAGGATAATAATTCTAGTATAGTTAAAGCTTAGTGTGGGGCAGGGATAAACCCCCCAACTTTACAGTTAACACTATAAAGTTGACAAAAATTTGACATTCATTCCAAAGGTCTATTAAAATATGTTTCGGCGTTTTTTAAAGGTTATAAAAGTGTATTGGTATAAAAACATATTCCACATTATTTTGATTGATACCTGTATAGATAGTGATTAGGATTGTCACAAGTGGTGTGAACCCATTCAAATGTGCACGGATTTTGGTTCCTACCCTCAAATTTGAATACTCAAAACACTACTAAATATGATCTCATTATTAGAGGATTATTCATTTAGAGGATCTGATTTTTTCATTTTATTAAAATTTGTTCAGAAAGACTGCTAGTGTCATTTTTGCTCTCCTAAAAATCTCTATAAATACGAGTACGGTTAGAGCAATAAGATCCCTGATGTTAATATCGTGATCTTCTCAAAGAGTCAAACTGCTATCAAATCTCTGCTTACCTCTACAGCTACATTCGTAACAATATGCGAGTGTTTGTTTTGCTTAACAATTTAGATAAGCATCTTACTAAGCAACTCACATGGATATGTGTTTGAACATATTGATATGTATAGCTAACCTCAGAACATCGTATTATTTCGAATAATAAGTGATAACAGCGTATATCTTTTATAGATCTTAGAAAACTTTATTCACTGTCCCATTTTATAGACAGATAATATATTTTATTAAAGCAGGTTTTCTTCAGAAATTTTTAGACCATTACCAATGACATCTTACCGAAATATACTGATTTCACGGACCCGAGAATAATAAAATGGCTGAATTCTAAGACAAAAAAGGGGCAAACATACCCTTAATTGATCATGAGCTCTTCTAATTACTCAAACAAATGAGATTATCAAAAAATGGGATGATAATAAGTTTTTAGAGTAGATTTTGGGATCTTTTTTGAATACTTAATTAGTCACTAAAACTTGAGGCATCAATTTCATGTGTTGTGGCTTATGACGCTCAAATTTATCGATTTTCGGAATAATTTATTAAGATTAATGATAGATACATTCACAATAATAGATAATAATAGATTTAATAGAATCTGTTTTTTAATAATAATAGATAATAATAGATATAAGTTTAATAATATTTTTTTCATATTTTTATTTATTATTTTATTTTACAAACTAAATTTTTGAAACTTTTTCGCCTTAATAAACGTTAAATATTTAATCATATGAAAATACCTTTAAAGTTTTTATATCCTTGGAAATGTGGCTGTACATATAACCTTTACTTAAGTTAAAATTCATCCTAAGATCTTTCTAATCCTGACCACTTAACAAGATTCGATATCCAACAGCGAATCAATTACCCAACACACAATGTCACATCATTCCAAAATACAGAACCCTAATTATATTTAGTTGCACTTGCAACAACTACAACACACTACAACAACAACTACAACTATAATTACAACTAGAGCTACAACTGTTGGTTTAACAACACCAACAACAACAACTCTAAGTAGAATTACAACAGTAGTGGCAACATAAAGGCGCCATTGCATGTTGGCCGAGAGCTTTTTAAATATTTTACGCACACAACAAAATGGCGCGACAACGATTTTCACTTACCCGCGCCTGATTGTCCGAATACAAAATTGTCCGGCCTGAAAAGCATACCCATGGCCGATTGGCGCACTGAATCCATTGTGCCGGGCTCCAAATCGATAAGCACTGCACGTGGCACATATTTGCCATTGTTAGCCTCATTGTAGTAGACATCAATGCGTTCCAATTGCAAATCATTTTCGCCGTGATACATGCCATTGGGATCGATGCCATGTTCATCTGAGATGATTTCCCAGAACTGAAAATCAAAAAGAATAAAATATTTTTATTAATAATAAAAATAAAATTTTTATATAAATTTTAATGCTATTTTAAGTAAAATTTTTTATATATACTGCCATACTTATATATGCTGTTCTTTCATAAATTTTCAATTTTCATTAAAGCAATTTTCATTAATTTATAATTAAATTAAAAAATTATTAAAATTTATTCAAGGATTAAAATAAAGTCCATAAATTTATACTGCTGTTATTAATTATTAATATTTATATAATTTTTTCAATTCATTGTTCATTCATATTCGGATTTTTAAGTAGAACTCAGTACTCTTCTTATTCGAGACACTCAGAATAGTTGAAAATAATTGCTTATATATGAAATAAATTCTTATGTACCTATATAAGTATGGGTTCTCTGTTTTGCCTTTATCACTTTATAGTAGTTTTGTTTGGATTCAATTAATATTGTTAGGGGATGTGGCACTGCGACCGTCGGGTCAATTGTGTCGCTTGGATTCAATATTTAAAGGATAATATTTAGAATATTCTATTACTATGTGCTTAAATCCGATAGTGATACTTTCCTCACATCTCATATTTCAGCACCCAAAGAAATATTTAGAATTATTTTTAAGGATTTATAATATATTTACTAATTCAAATTTTCACATCCAAGACAAAGATAGTTACTTTGTCACGGTAAGTAAAAAATGAAATAAAAAAAAAAGTAAGAAAATTTTACTACTTAATAAAAAATATATTTATTCATTAAATCAACAATATATTATATTAATTCTTAATTTAGTTGATTTTTAAAATCTAACAAATCTAAATAACCCATCATCATCACAATAATTAAGATACACCACAAGTACAACTTCTTTTTTAAGATCGTCACCATAAAATTTTATGTCATCACAAATTTTTAGCCATTTGTTGATTTTACAATATAATAGTATAATTGTCTTGCGACACTTTCATTCGATCAATTTTAAATTTCAGTGGTGTAGGCTAGTACGTTTCTAGGTTGGAATCAATGCCGGTAGTAGATAGGAAAGCAAAAACAAGTATGCCTTATATATCAGTCTTATGTGGGGTCCCAGGCATAAGAATATTAAAGAGAATTGGAGGTAGACGTTTAGCTCACCCTAAAATCTATCTATAGTATACTAAAGCAGCTCCAGAAATCTACATTTTTTTGGAGATTACGTTCATTGGGTTAAATTTTGAATTTTAGTGGTGTAGGTCAGCACTGTGGTGTAGGTTGAAATCAATCCTGGTTGGAGATAGAAAAGTAGAAATTGGTGTAGTAAACAAATTTTCCGATATTACTTTCATATGGCTCCCAGGCGTAAGAAAATTGAAGGGAATGAAAGGTATACATTATATATATATAGATTTATAGATTTACTCTAGAATTTTTAGAATAATACATTATTTTTGTAGTAGTGTTAGTAGACATTTATATTTTTTATAAATACATTTATCGAATTAAATCCCAGTTAACTGACGAATCATATACATTAAGACTGAAAAGTTTTCGGAAATTCTCATTTAAAATTCGCGCGCTGTATATTTTTCGATATTTTAAGTTTATGTAGTTTGGCAGCACTGTCCTTAATTACTATGCCAAAAATGAGCTCGATCTGTCAGACAGTTCGTTTACGGCAGCTGTTGAAACCAGTTCACCTCAGTAGTGCGTTGCGAAATGTCTTCGACGGTCGTACGACCGTCCTGGAAGGCTTTGTACCACTCATAAACTTGAGTTTTCGATAAAACTGATTCCCCATAAGCCTTTTGTAGCATTCGCAACGATTCTGCACACGAAATTTCGTTCGAAACACAAAATTTGATGCAAACTCTTTGTTCAATATTTTTTTCCATTGTTTTTTTCGCAACGCCCTACTGAGGTGAACTGGTTTCAACAGCTGCCGTAAACGAACTGTCTGACAGATCGCGCTCATTTTTGGCATAGTAATTAAGGACAGTGCTGCCAAACTACATAAACTTAAAATATCGAAAAATATACAGCGCGCGAATTTTAAATGAGAATTTCCGAAAACTTTTCGGTCTTAATGTATACAGCTGTCAATTTCAGGGTAATCTTGCTACAAGATATCTAGAGTATTATAAAGTAATCCCGAGTGTTACCAGTCGAGATTTTCTGATTTAGCAATCGAAAATGAAAACTGCACTAAAAGTGCATTAAAGGAGTATCTGGATTTAAATAATTACCCCATTTTTACTAATCGAAAACGCTATTAGACATCTTAAGTTCTGATGTAGAGTTACAAAAAACAGCTAAAGAGTTTATAAGTTTATTCTAGATATTCTTCTTATACAAAAGCTTAAAGAGGTCATGTGTTTCATTACATTGATGTTCTATTATAAATAAAATTTAGTTGACATAGTTCATATAAAACAAAAGTAAAAATAATAATAATAATGTGAAACGTTTTCAGTCTGATTGCAAAGCTAAGAAAAAAAATAATTTTTATTTAAAAATCTTAATTTTTCTTGATATAAGTATGTATGAATTTCAAAATATCTCATCAGCAATATTTTTCTCGTATAATTTTGCATAATTTTCACACAGAGCGAATAAAAATAAAAGGACGAAACCTATTTGAACGACAATCTATTTGAATACAATGTATTGAGCATATGTATTCCGTTCGAACAGCAATCCAACGGTTGCATATAAAAATAACATTTATCTTTTTAAAAAACATTACGACATTACGAGTGAAAGAAGTGAGAGGGAAAAACTATGAAAAGGAATAAAAATTAAAAAAGAAAACGTTTTTCCAGGTGACTGCATTTTTAAAATTCCATTTTAAACGAACTAGTGGCGTACGTTCGCTTGGTTGTTCGAATGTTAGCTCCATTCGAACATATTTTTAATGCACATATCATTTTATACATGTTGTTTACATTTTTTAAAATATATACTACACACATAAAAATATCGACTGCCACGTCCACAGCGAGCCTTAACCAAGTACCAAGCCACCCTTCCCCGCTTGCGCTGCCATACTTTTATTCAATAACATTTTAAAATCAATGCATACAAATATGAAAAGTGTCCTTCTGTTATTGGTGTTGGTATTCATTTGAGATTTATGCGGTGCCATTTGTGCCTTCGTACGCCCCCCACAAAAAACATACTTCAACACACATACTCTCAAACTCATATGTTTTATATTGTAGTATGTAGAGCTTATGAGTACAAACCAATACACATGTAGACATTAATATTAAGGACATTTAACATACACTCGAACTCGAACTCACTCTCGAAGTCGCACTCGCTTTATATGCCGAAAACAATTTTTTATTATTTTTCCCTGTTTTTTAAATAATTTTTTCCATTTTTTTAATGTTTTTTTAATAATTTCAATTTGTTGTTTTTTTCTTTTTTTGTTTTATTTTCATTGAGTTGACTAGCACACGGTTATGTCCTGCGATAGGATTTTAAGGTATTTTCGTTTTGTTTTTTATTTTGTTTGGTTTGGTTTTGTTTGGTTTTGTTTCCTTTGCGGGTAACAAGAAGGAGTACAAATAAATCCTTTTAAGCATATTTCATATGAATTTTTCACATTATTCCTTTGTTCGTTTGTCGAAACATTTCACGTATGAACAATATGAATTTTAAATTTTATAAAATTGCATTGTTTTTCGAAAGCTACCCAAAAATGCTAATTGTGTGAAATATGAAATGTGCATTGATCGAATTGATTGTTGCCGAATTTAAGAATATTTTTTCGTTCATTTTTCATTTTTTACCGCTCTCGGTTTTTTTGTAATCAGGATTTTAAGTTATTTCCACCCGAGGTATGAATTCCCAATTGAGCTTTTGTTGCGGAAAATCGCTCAATTAATGCAGCTTTTTGTATTAAAGACAATACAATCATCACACAAAAAAAAAAAGAAAAAGTTTAGTTAATATTTACAGTATTAAATTATTAAATTATTCAAATAAATTCTGTATTCAATCATCAAAACAAAAAAAAACCTCATATCCAAAGGGCAAACTAATCAAAAATTACAATATCAAATAATTTTTATTTATTCAATCATATCTACGTTAAGAAAATTTCGCTCCAGGTAAGATAAAAATATTTTAAAAATATTCAAATGAGTTTAGGTTATAATGGCGATCGGATTCGCTTAGATCCATTAGTCCAATGAACATACATAATCTGCAGTTCTTTCTGGTCCTAGATGTATAGAAACCCATGCAGAGAAACAAGTTGTGGAAATCTGCATGAAGAAGAAACCATAAAACACTTTCTCTGTGAATGCCCGACTTTGGCGTCCAGAAGAAATAGGTTTTTAAAAAACTACTTCATTGACAGTATATTATTTTTACCAGAGTAGGAAGGGTGTATCGATAAAGACGAAAACTCCTTTTTTTTTGTTTCTTTAATTGAACATTATGTCTTAGCCCAATAATAAGTTTTAGAATCTTGAAAACTAATTTTAATTTTAATTTTAAACATTACATTACAATCTATTTTATATATACCTATATCACATAATTGAGATTATTGCTTGAACCTATTATTAATATTATTGACTTGAGGTAGTTTATCTTAATTAAAGAGCACATTCTTTCTTCTTCATTTGGAGCCTATTTTTCGCGTACCTTAAATGTACCAAGAATTATATATATAAGATTCAATTGGTGATTTTTCATTTTTTTTTAAAGTCTGTATCATGCACATTTCAAACTGCGGATGTGATAGCCTTACCAGACCACGTGAGTCCCAAAGCACAGATACCATAACCTTATTAACCGACTGTTACGACTGTTACCAGACGATCACGTGAGTCCAAGATACAGACACCAAAACCTTATTAACCCACTGTTGCGCTCTTGGTCGCTTTGGATGACTTTCAATGGTTGCTATTCAGTTAGCTGATTGTCGTTTTGATTCTGGAGTGATGTGGTGAATTCATGCGTCATCTATTATCACATAGGTTAGGTGAATTCATGCGTCATCTATTATCACGT